TGTGGAACTCCTTAGGTAGAATTAAATTTTGGAGAGGAGCGTTAAACTAGCATCAAGGGGTCATGGTAGCTTCGATCTAGGGCAACCAAGTGGTCTTACTATCGGCTGGGTCAGAAAACTTGACTTATCTATGACAACACGTGCCTAGTGGCCTTTGCACGTGTCATTTATGTTTTATGTTATATGATGATGCAAAGGTGGTGTATGATGATGTGATGATGTTATATCCATGTCGTTCCTCGAAATTACTCCAAATTATCACTGATTGTCGCTTTGTATTGGAATATCCATCCTGTTTCGTTAGTAACTTAAGTATTCTTAACTCCCTTATACTAACCTTATTTACAACAAGATCAAATTCAGCGTCGAGATGGTCGGAACCCAAACAATTTCAAAACCCATTCTTGATTCTGACGATAAGGGACGTTGTTAAGGCGTGGAAACTTACCTCCCTCTTGTGTACATGCAATTATCGATGGACTCTTTCATCACGTGAGGTGGCCATTTGATGTCGGGTTTCTCTAGTTGATCTTGCTGGAGTAGCTTTCGAATTCCTCTCTTGTTCTCTCTCCCTCTCGTTCCCTCTCACTTGTACGTAAGCTCTAGTGAAGTATTTTGGCACCTTTTTTAGCGACCGAGTTTTTTAATATAATATATTAGTACCTACTTACTCTATAGGTTTATTTTCCATTATTTGTAATATAATATATTTAAAAAAATCGTATTTGAATCCCGTATTTGAATTCCATTATTTGTAGCAAATCTCACACGAACTTGAATGTTGTAATTTAGATCATAGAACTCAAACAACCATTGCATAATTTGAATTATATCCTCATCCTACAACCGAGTAAAAAAGTGGTCAGATTTTAGATTATGTCACCCACCAAAGAAGTTGATTAAAGAATAAATTTCTTATATGTTTGTATGGTTTACTTTTGCATTAGTCATTACGAACAATAGGAACATTATAGGTTAGGTTAAGTTCGATTCAAACTCTCGTCTAAATATAACATATTTTAACATGTATGCAACAACTTCCTATATATAATACACCTTATTAATTATTACATGTATTATATATGTTTAGATAAATAAAGTTAGAAAATTGATGAGATTTAGATCGTACAATCTGTAATGTTCGTTCTATATCAATTTGATTCCGCTATATATATGAAATAAAACAAAATGGATTTGTGTACCCAAAAAAAAAAAACCAAATTAAATAATAAAAAAATGAAGCTTCAAAACATGTTTTGTTTCATTGTATTATTTGTTTTTCAATCCAACATGATTATTAACTCATTAACTCATGTTTTGCACCATCCGAGTCAAAGATACTGAATGGGAAGTGGTAATTTGGAATCATATGAATGATTCAACTCTCTCGGGTCACTAAAGACTACGATTTAGGCAAACATGAGATTGGCCCTGGAGAGAAGTACTCCTGGACCTTCAAAGAAATTATTTGACAAACAACACGGTTTTGGTGCAATTTTAATAGTAAACACGGAGATGCTTCTGGTGAAGTATTTTGGCCAAAAATGGACAATTGGTCTAGTGACCAATGTTATAATAGTATTTGTACTTGGGCAGCGGGAGACGATGACATTTCATTATGTCTTGGTTCTAAAGAATCATATCTATTAAAGTACACTTGGAAATGATATAACTAAGCTTCATTGAGTTGACTTCCACTTGAGCATAACTCTTGATATAGACACAAGAAAACCCGTCTTTTTTTTTTTTTTTTTTTTTAGCTTGGAGGTCAATCCTTCTCTACTTGTTGAGTTAAAATGCATATCGATAATAATAAAAATAAAACACAATATAGTTATATATGTTTTTTTTTTAGAAAATTGTGAGATCATACCACATTGGTTGGAGAGTGGAACGAAGCATTGTTGGTAAGGATGTGAAAATTTCTCCTTAGTAAACACATTTTAAAACTGTGAGGCTGACAACGATGCGTAACGAGTCAAATGGGACAATATCTATTAGTGGTGGGTTTGGGCTATCAAAAATGTTATCAGAACTAGTCACTAGGCGGTGTGCGAGAGAGGACACTAGATCCCAAAAGGCAGTGAATTTTGAGATTGAACCACATTGGTTGGAAGAGGAACAGAGCATTTTTTATAAGAGTGTGGAAACTTCTAACAATATTTACTATGATGGGCTTGAGCTGTCACATTAAGAAAGTCAAGTTTATGAACTTTGACTTTAAATGTAATAACCCAAAATTAGAAAAAAAAAATGAAAATGAGAGACCTTTAATGTGGTAGACTGACCTGATAACCAACTACACTACACACACCAGATGATTTCCGAACTTTGATCTATATTATGATATAACATAATAACAACTTTTTAAAAATAATTAAAAGTATTAATGAAATTTGAATAGTTTTTTTTTAAAGCTTAAGGATATTTTTATCGACTTAACCAATATTATATTGATAGGATTTTATCATTCAATGACAGAAAAAAAAAAAAAAACCTAATAATTTTGTGAATAAAACAAAAACTTATGATAAACAATATGTCATCATCGTCATCGTTGCTAAACCATAAAAATTTGAAATTTTGAAATATTAACAAATATATTGGATTTATTTGTTAATTATCATCGTGAATCCTTTGTGAGTATGACTCCGGTAGGGTCTTGCAGCGGTTCTTGAATCATCCCCTACAAAAAGTGTTCACCTAGATATTGACTCATCCAAATACCTTTTATGGAGGGATATATCAAAAGCCACCACCAGACCCTAAATGAGTCGTATAATATTTGGTTGAGATTAGCTCATTTAGTGAATAAACACTTGACCTACTCTAAGATAGCACTCACGAACATTAGTGATGATATACGTTCTCCAAGTGAAGGTCTAAGATTTTAATCGACTACAATGGGAGTCGGAATCCACGACCTTCTAATCAAAAGTCAGACGTGTTAATCCATTGCGGTATGTGGGTCATTTTTTTTTTTTAAGTTTGTGTATATACTTTAACAAAAATATATATGTTTATACTTCTACAAAAATAAATAAATAAATAAATTTATTATTATTATTTTATTCTCTTAATTTAATTTAAATTACATTTTTTTTTTTGTACTAACTCTATTATATTACATTTTTATTTATCTTAATTGAGTAACATCTTACTTTTATTTTAAAAACTATATTTTTTATTTTTTATTTTTCTCTCCTCTCTCTCTTCCTTCTTCTTTACATGGAAGCATTGAAGAAGGAAGAAATTAGATGGAAGAGAGAGAAAGGGAATATTCCTACACTATATTCCATCCATTTCAATTTTATAAGACTATATTCTATCCTTTTTAAACTTTTTTCATTCATGATGTTATTTTTTTTCATTCACGCGTACACTAGGATGATGATCATCATCTTCATCATCATCATGTCTCGCATGATACTCGAGGGTTTGCTGACCTCTGAACGTCCGACTGCGGACAACTAGTCCAACTATAATGGATCTAAGGGGTGTGCAAACTGTCTTAGAACTCACGCTCGCACGTGTGGATTGTGTGTAGAAAGTACTACACATCCAATTTTGTCCAAGAGGCCACCTCTATGGTTTTAACGATAGGTCCTTAAGCATGAGTTGTATGTGTTTGCAATCTCTGACCCTAATAATGGGATCACTTACTGAGTATTTCTTAAAATACTCTTGTAAAGGAAAAGCACCCGTGTACACAACTGACGAAGACATCACAAGTAAAGACCATGAAACATGCATAAGATAGTGGTATTTCATTTCTTAGACTTTAGGTTAGTATAGGGTATTTTTAATTTTAATGTTTATTTCTTTTATTTAGTATTTGGTTACGTTGTTTTAAAGCTATTTTCGAACATGTAAGTTTATGGCAGTGTTTTATGATGAAGTTTTATATGTTTATTTTCGCATAAGAGATTATGTTATGATGACGGTAGCGACTTTATGTTAGTAGAAATCTAGGGTCGTTACATTTGGTATGAGAGCACTAGGTTATAGATTATGTAAACTAGTCTACGAGATAAGCTTGGCATGTTCCCACCGCCGATGCCCTATCAGCATCAGATATGTAATATGTAAGATAAGAAAAGGAAATGTTGATTGCATTTGGTTGTTATCAAATATAACTCATGACACCACTTACTGTATTATAGTTGACTTAGTTATATGTTTATTATAATATAAAATATGAATGTTAATTGATGTATTGATAGTGTTTAGATTTAGCAAGGTTTTTATCATGAATGGGGAACTATAGTTTATTAAGCTACTAAACACTAGTAAAAAGAAATTATGAATATAGTTAAAATATGCAGTGTTTGACCATAGAGATGGAAAATAATGTAACAACGTATATTGACGATTAAGTTTATTCAAATGAAAATGACCAAGAAAACTTGATAGACGACAGTATCTTATAGTCTACTATAGATATTAAAATTGGTAGTGTCAAAAGGAAATTTTGTAACTATAAAGTATGTAAACTGTATAGGTATGAACAAAAAAAAAATAAATAAATAAAAAAATAAAAAAATTATGAGTCCAAGTGACTTTAATGGGATTAAAGTAGTGAGATGTAGAAAACCTATTTGCCTTAACACTAATTAAAAAGTTGTAAAGCTACAATTGCAAATATGAATGTTATGAGGTTGTTTAAAAGTATCGAGTCACAGCGTTAATGATATAGAATCGTAGACAAAGTTTTATGAGTATTTACTAAAGGTCCAATAATGCACTTTTTTGTCCATATAAAAACAAAAACTAACTAGGAAAACAATGTAATGAAAGAAAGATCTCGTTGACCAAAGAAAGCAAGTCGTGAACATACTAAATGAATTTTATTACTCATGAAACTTTAGGAAATTATGTATGAAATTTGATAATCATTGGTTTAAGGGCTAAACCAATTGTATGTGTAAAATGACTAAAATGCCCTTATAACTATGTAGGAGGACCCTAAGTAGTATATAATTTAATGAGTATTATGTCATGGTTCGAAGAGATTATACGAAGTTACTAGGCCATACGTACAAACAAGGTTCAAAGTTTAGTTCATTGCAATATGAATAACACCTATTTTAGTAGTACGGTAAGAACTTGAACAGAATGAGGCATTTCATAAGCAATAACAAAATGAAACTCACACTCTTCTTCCAATAATATGTGTGACTACTGATCAAGAGGCATCCACTCTAGTTCCAAGTACACTTCACCTGATTCTACGTTTCCGAGCTTGAGCGACACCTCTTGTTTCACCTTCCCATCCACGATATTGACAGCACTGTCGTCGATAAGGGCGTTGTCGTCTGATTTCAACCATTTTCCTATCTGCATATCCCCATATATTTCAGCATCTCCAAATGCCATTGCTGATGTTAACATTGGCTGGAGGTCGATTTCTGCTTCACCCATCGAGTCATTAGATGAAACAGTGTCGAGATCGAACACTTTCTGCAATGGACCATTAAGTGAAGGAAGAAAAAATGAGTATTCACGGTTGAGGATTGTTGGGAGGGAGTCCCACATTGACTAATTTAGGGAATGATCATGAGTTTATAAGTAAAGAATACATCTCCATTGGAATGAGGCCTTTTGGGAAAGCCCAAAGCAAAGTCACGAGAGCTTATGCTCAAAGTGGACAATATCATACAATTGTGGAGATCCGTGATTCCTAGCCTCCACTTCTTTCTTCCTAAAATAACCTCAAATGCATAGCAAGTATTCAGTAGCTTGTAACAAATGCATAACACATCTGAAAACAAGGTTTCATATTTACCAACTTCAAGGGACACAAAATTGAGCTCTAAAAGTTGGATCAACTGTAAAAATCTGCAAAAAAAAACTTACCAACTCTAAGGGACCATATTCTTGAGGAACCGACAGCATGAGTTCCTCGTTCCAAACTGGATTCAAGTTTTTCTTTTTCACAGTTGTTTTCGCAGTCTATCATCAACAAAACCAGTCGTCATTATCAATTTCTCAACAAGAAGTTAACAATTATTATCCAATCCACCTTCTATCTTTGAGCATGTTAGCAGGTTCAGAGTAGGACATTCAGAATGCTACATTTGCAGAGTTCTTAGTCACCCCACCATAGACCAATTAAAAAAAATGTAAAAGCATGCACCCTTGAAAAGATCAGAGCTGTTACTGACCTGTTGCCCAAGAGTCACGGTAATGAAAGGATCACTGGATTTCATATCTCTCACAGCTAAGTTTGTGCCTTTAATCACCTTAACTTTCAGTAGTCCCATAAATTCAACCATGCCTTCCTGTGGCTAGTCCCAAAAGCAGAAAGAGTAGAGAGTTAATCAGATTACTATCCATAGATGGTTAAACATATTAACTAGCTGCTGATCTCATCCAATAGCTCCAACTAATTATAGCCAGATTTCGGATGATGTTTTGGAGGAGAATGGTTCGGGGGAATATGAAGCATATTTACAAACATATTACTCAAAACTGATCTCCATGCCAAGCATGAAGCAGTTAGAAAACAAATACATTTTATCATGTGGTATGAGATGTAAATGAACTTACTGATTTCTTTGAAGAGTTCTGAAAACAACTTGGCTCCTCAGGAGTCTTTGAAGAGTTATTGGGTATAATTCGCAAGCTAGGTTTTAAAAATTCTTGAAGTTCATATTTGGACCTGCATGAAAGATTACTTACTTAAATTACTCCTTAGAGATTCAAAACTGAACAGGGGCATGGTTACTAAATATGTTGTCAATATACATTCATAAATCATGATCCGGATTCCCTTGCTAAACATTTACTGATTGCTGAAGTGCAAAACCATGACATTTTAACTAAGCACAACTAGTAAAAGGGGAGAAAAATTACACGGTAGGCTATAAATTATGGCTGAAATGGTCATATAAACAACAGAGAAATTACTAGTTGTCATTTATGATGCACAAATATGTAAGAGATCCTCCGTGACAACTATTGCAAGTCAGAGTCTTACTTTATGAACTTTGAACGCTCCTCATGGCTAGCACTCGGTCCAGGCTTTGTATATCCATCAGGAATAAAAGCCTCATATATTGAATTAGCAAAACCATTTCCTCCAACCTCCATCATGGCATCGATCTCATCATCAGACCATTCATCCAATGTTATTGATAAGACCTGAACCAGAGCCAATAATGTCCTTAGAACAACGAATTTTCTTTAATCTTAAAAACTCCAGCAGTTCTAAGTTCAGGCAAAGTTTTCTGATGAGAGAAGGAAGTAAAACCCTGTAACCTTCCATTTCTTGTAAACTATTCTCAACAAGAGCAACATTGACCAACTGGGGACTACTATTTCAGCAATGTAGGCTGCAAGATTGCATGGCACCGATTGCTTTCCCCTCGAGTAAATCAAATTCAAATTGTGCTTTTACGATGAAAAGCGTTTAGCATGCTTAACAAATAGATAAGGATACCACAGAATATCGGAAAAACATAAAAGTAGTTATAGTGTTAATTCCAATGACATATGGAAAGAAAAAAGGAATGCAATCCGAAATCTGATTTTTGAGAAAGGTGAGTATTACCTTTGATATATGTGTTCCAAGGTTTCTGTGTACACCACTACATTTTAAGCATACAAATACACCAATATTTGCAGAGCTGCAAAGGCAGTGAATCATACATCATACTTCTTGAGATGATCATATAAATTGAAAAGAAATCCATGGAAGCATATCACCAATGAAAAACAATGTGCTTTGTTTCAGAGGAAAAATTATTAAAACTAAATGATTAGATCATAATCCTTCAATAACGAAGCTTAGGAAACTTACGCCCATTTAGGATCAGGAGCACCACAATCTGCACAAAGTTGATTATCTTTTTGAAGCAATAAATCTTTTAATCTACTTTTAGCTGCACAAAGAATTTCAAACCATAAAGTTTCTGAAAAACGCATGCAAAATCTGCTTCCTAAACACACACACACACACACACACACTTCAGTAAGCACACCTGATTCAGGCCTCCTGAAATCCCCTGAAAAATGACTCATTCTCCGCTTCGATCTCAGTGATTCATAAACCAGATTTCTTCAGATGACCTAAAGAAAAACAGGGGAAGGGAATGCAATTCAGACAAGCTCTCACAGCAAAAACAAAAGAAAAAGGAAATCCTCCTTAAAAAATGGATCTCAGGTCTTCGCAATGGATCATTTTACCACAATCAACTAAAGGAAAACCAACAAACAAGTTCTGCAAAGCATTTTGATTTCTGTATGCCGCAAAAGCTAAACAGGAAAAACAAAGAAATCCTCCGAAATAGAATGGAGATGAAAGATTAAAGCGAAGAAATGAGATATGAAACCAAACAATTTAGATCAATGGCGGATCTAATTTGATGATTCGATCTAATAGTGCAATGAATTTTTTGTTGAAAGTGACTGTAAAACGAAGGTGATGAAGCCACATAACCTGTTCTTACGCAGATTCTATCTCCACCTTCATTGTCCTAAGCGATTTGAAAGTAAAAACATATTTAAATATGAATATTTATTTTATTTTTATTTTTAAATTAATTAATTAATCGTTAGAAATTTAAAAAAAAAAAAAAAAAGAAAAAATGAAAGTGGTCCCGGCTCGGTTAAGCATATAAATATTAATTTTATGTTTCACTATGGATGTCCTAAACCTAGTGAAGACTAAGTAACACGAGTCCGTGACATTATTTTTAAGAAATTGCAATCCTACTAGTGGAGTTACTTACCGAGTATTTTTATACTCATTCATGCTATTCTTCTCTTTAGATGGTACTTGAGTTTGTATGACACGTGACAATGGCACGACAAGACAATGACGAGGCTTTGAGGATAGAGATAGATCAAAACCTTAATTGACTTAATCTCTCTCTCGTTTCTTAAATCTCGGCCCTCCTTCACTGTTCTCAAACTTAGTCTTTCATTTCTTAAATCTCGGCCCTACTTCTCCCTTCTCAAACTTAATCTCTCGTTTCTTAAATCTCGGCCCTACTTCACTCTTCTCAAACTTAGTCTCTCTCGTTTCTTAAATCTCGGCCCTACTTCACTCTTCTCAAACTTAGTCTCTCTCGTTTCTTAAATCTCGGTCCTACTTCACTCTTCTCAAACTTAGTCTCTCGTTTCTTACTTCTCTCTTCTCAAATTTTGTTCCCTGATTCTTAAATCTCGACCCTATTCCTCTCTTCTTAAACTTAGTCTCTCGTTTCTTACTACTTTGTTCCCTGTTTCTTAAATCTCAACCATAATCCTCCCTTCTCAAACTTAGTCTCCCGTTTCTTAAATCTCGACCCTACTTCTCTTATCTTAAATTTAGTCTCTTAAATCTCAGCCTGCTTCTCTCATCTTCAACTTAGTCTCTTAAATCTCGAACCTATTTCTCTCTTCTCAAACTTGGTCTCTCATTTCTTAAATCTCGACCCTACTTCTCTCTTCTCGAATTTAGTCTCTCAATTCTTAAATCTCGACCCTATGTCTCAAAAACCTAAGTTATCTCGTCATTCTCTTAGCTTAACACACATTCACAAAGTTCGTCTCCAAAATCTCGACACTATCTCTCAAATCTCGATCCTATTTCTCAAAAGCCCAATTTGCCCTTTCATTCTGTTGGTTTAAACCATGAAGTCATATTTATATTTAAATTGTAGAAATAGGAAATCTAGGAAAAATAATTTTTTAAAATTAACGTTAAAAGATGGAAAATAATATAGGAAATCTTCTAGAAGGTAATTTGAAGGGCAAAGATGGAAAAAAAGAAAGTAGATAAAGTCGAATTCCCCGCAAGGGAATGAGAAGTAGGCCGAGCCCAGTTGTTACTAAGAATTGGGCCTATGGGCTTTTATTGGGCTTTGAATATTAACAATGGGCCCCAGTATGGTTTCGACTTGGTCGGTAATTAAAAGCCCAATAAAAGCCCAGCATCTGATTTCATTATCTTAGGCCCTTTTTTCTGCCCAAGTAAGCCATTCGATCCCCCATTACAGTTGAGGCCGGTGGAAGACGATGGAGCAGCGGGCGGAGGGCGAGTCGATAAGAGTAGCCTCCGAGGAGCTCTCTCAGGAGTTCAAAACTTTGATCAAAACGGATGATTTGAACTCTCTCAACCATTTGCAGCACCTCATGTAAGTCCTGTTTCTCTCTGTTCTGTTTATTAACATCGTTTTCGGACGTAGAGGCGAAATTTGACGAATTAAGATCAAATTGGAGTTCTGTACCGACTTTATTGTTGAAGTATTCGGTATTTTTTTAATGATGATTTGAAGAATATGTAAAATTTATTACCATTACTCTTAATTGTTTCGTTGAATCGCTCATTGCAGATTGGGGAGATTGCAGGATAGCAATGCTGTCCTCTCTCATTTTAACGAGTTCTCGGAGCATTGCTTTGCTGAGGTGTCTGGAGATCTATCTAGAAATACTCGTCTTTTGAAGTCCATGAAATCTGACCTTGATTACATATTTCTGAAAATAAGGTATGGTGGTGAATCGACGATCAAATGCTCTCAGTGATACAAATATTACTTACGTTATTGTTTATGATCTTTTGTTCCCTAAAATGTATGGCATCTTTAAATTTAATCCCCTAAAAGAATCACAAGAGATGTATGTTACTGCCATTTCGATCACCGAAGTAATGTCCAAACTTAATGATTCAAACCAAGTATAAATAATCCTGGAACGAGGTCTCAATAACTAAACTATGTATGAATCAAAATTTGAAATAGATTCTAAGGAGAAAAAAAGAAATAAGAGGGTTAGAGATACTCAATAATTAAAATGCTTAAGCTTATGGGGGTTTTCCGCTTTGAGTGAGTCGTGTGTGGGAAGAAGTATAAATATCTTCATACACTAGATGCTCGTCAATTAGTTCTGTATCTTTAGAATTGTAACCTTCTTGTGGCATGTCACTTACAAGCTACTAATACGTTTTTTTTCCAAAGCAAGTTGGTGTAGTAGCACCGTCAGGTAAAATTTTGCATTTTTTTTAATGCATTTGCCATGTTGAACATTCGGATTTTAGCTGCATACAAGTATTTTTGTTAGAATGTTCTTCAAGTATACGCATTTTCCGTAAAGTAATCTTGTTTCAGTACAAATGTTCTCTGCAATTATTCGTTGCAGAGTTCTTTTCTAACCCTTCTATATCATTACGATGGAAATGGATAGTAATATTTCATTATCAAGGGGGATCAAATGGAGAAATGTGTTCTAGTTGATTCAACATACTTTCTTTCCAGTTTATGCACTTCTATGATCTTTACAGACCACAGTGTAACTGTAGGCAAAGCTGGCCTAGTGTTCTAATTCTTCTTGATTGTGGAAGAACTATAGTTATTTTTATTTTCTCCTTACTTGGCCTGTTTTGGTGGTGGTCTGCTAGTTTCTTTGTTAGTACTAGATGTACAGTTTATAAGATAAAATAGTTCTTTTTTCATCATTTTTTTTCTGATCATATATGTATATATATACGTATATTATTATTTATTATAAGAGAAAATTTCATTGATAATTGAAATTTACAAAAGGGATGTATAATACATGTGTTTACAAAAGACCTTCCCAATTTGCAATGAGGGAGGTATAACTATAGGAAGTAAAAATATTAGACAGTTTACACCAAGATATAGCTTGGTAATCGACATTGTCGAAAAGGTTTGTGTAGGTCTGTGTCCTTTTTGCAAATATTCTCTGATTTCATTCTTTCTAAAGATTCCAAACGAAAGTCATGATAAGGTTTTCCCATAATAAGACTTTTACATTCTTGAAAGGGTGGTACGTTATGGGCATATCCAAAAATAGGGCTTTTTCTGGTTATTCTTGACGATTAAAAAATCACCAAACATTTCAACGGTGTCTCCCCTAAAATATTTTGGAATTAGTTAGCATGAACTCAAGGTGAATAAAACTTTTAAAATTTGGAATGGAAAATATATGAAATTAAAGTTACTTATTTCATTGTTTTTTTTTTTTTTTTTTTTTTTTTTTTTTTTTTTTGTTCATTTCTGTTACGAAATCAAGAAATTGAACATTTATGTTGGCTTCTACCAAGCAAGGATCTGAATTATTTAATACCCAGAAATCCTTCTTGAAACCATTTTGTTCAGATTGTGGTTAATTCAAAATTTTCATCTGTGATGGAATGTTCTTGTATACTCGATCCTCTCTGCTCTTCCTTGCACTTTATTTCACTGCGAGAGACTTCTAAATTTTATCTTGACCATTCATAACTGATTTATTTTATTGATCAAATTGCATCATTTAGTATACTTTTTGATTCAATATTGGCTGTATCTTTCTAGTTTGTATAGTTCATCAACTTCTCTTTCTTTCAGGAGCATGAAATCAAGAATCTTAGCCACTTATCCTGATGCATTTCCTGACGAGTCAACTAGTGAAGCTCTAGATAGGAGACCCGACCTCGAAAGGCCTCAGTAACTACAGAAATTACGACTGCAAGTAATCAAATACCCCAATGTGAGTCAGAAAATGTAGATAAATCATCTTCCAGAATCATTTTTATCATAAGTTTAACTTAGACAAATTTGTTTATATTGTGTTGGTGCCTTCAAGATTTTACCTCAATTGCTATGTTTAAAGATTATTGAGGTACATGGTAGATCATTATGAGGAGAAATCCATATGAAATATGTATTTGTAAAAGGTATATTCTCCTTCTGCTAGGTTTTTCATTTGTTAGCTTAAACTCATTCTAGCTCGTATTGGCCCCTTGTATGCCTATTGACGGAGCCTGCTACTATTAGCACCTGAGGTTGATATATACAATCCTTTCGATATCGAGTCATTCTTTTGTTTTCTTTTTCTCGTCTTTTTAGTTCAATAATGGTAGGTTAGGAGATCGAACCATTAACTTTTTGAAGTATAACTAGTGCTTGTTTTATGCTCAGATTGACATCCAGTCAACTTTTAATGCATGCTTATTACTTTTAAATTAATAGCCGACATTTCGACACAGGATGATTATGAATCTAAATGAACATTATCAACTTGAATGAGGTTGATAGCAGCCTTCCATCTTCACATGACACCCAATTAGACAAGGGATATTTGTTCAATATCAAGCTTGGTTCAACGTAGAACACGTTCAAATTGTCACTTTTAAGGTATAGAGACCTCAATGATACTTGAGTAAGTCCGAGGTCTTAAGAAACGAGCAGAATAGAAATGGTGGGTGTAACATGATATTATATTAGGTATGGTTCGAGCGCATGATTCCCACTCTCTTTGTATTCCACATGCAAATTCATCGTGAGCAAACTCCTTCTGTGTCATGCAGAAAAAGAACAGAAGTTGGAAATTTTGATCACATGCTTCTCGTCTCCATCCCCATCCACTCCTTCCTCAATCACAACCGTCCATTCCCCATCACCACTCCTTTCCTTCCAACTACAAAACCATAAACAAAGTGACCAAAATCTCATCTTTAGAACAAACAGAAAGAAAGAAAAAACTGAGAGATATGAAGGAAGGAAGTGAAGTTGGTGCTGCAAAAAGAAAGGGAGTTAGAAATGAGACTGAAAAACATAAAACTAAGATGAGGGAAAGGCAAAGAAGAGCCATTACTACCAATATCTTCCTTGGCCTTCGAAAGCATGGTGGCTACCGCCTCTCCCCTCGAGCTGATATCAATCAAGTCCTCCGTCACCTCGCCAACGAGGCCGGCTGGATTGTCGACCCCGACGGCACCACCTATCGCTCCTCCGCTTCTGTACCATCCCTCTTTCCCTTATGTTTTTTTTCTTCTATTCAATTGAGTACCCACAAAACACAAATTTTATGTCATAATCTTTCGTGGCTAGTCAAAGTGAGGCTTTGATATGCCGGGTTAGCACCCTTTGTCGCCTCTGTACTCGAAATAGATGCTACTCTTCTTCTGGTTTTGCCATTACCAATCGCGGGTAACTCTCGAGTTGGTTGAGCTGGTTGTCACTAACCTAATAAGAGCTATTATCCTTATCATTAAACAAGTAACAGTTTACTTCTTACCAGAGTTCTAATCTTAGTGAAATATTTTAACATTTTAACTTTTTTGATATAAATCAATTATGAATTTGGATTGAATAATTGTTCTATTTTTTTCTGTCCCTTAATTTTGGTTATGTTCTTCGTCTTAGATTTTGAATAGATGTTCAGTTTGTGGGACTGTGAGGAGCACCACTCCGACGTCGACGAGTAGCGCAGTAGCTGGCGGCGGCGGAGAGAATTCCACTCCGGCATCGTCTTGCCGATTGCCTGATTCTGTGAGAGACTACGCCATGGCATTCAACGACAATGTCATTCAACCGGCGACTGCCTTTTACATCCCCGGCAGCGGCACTTCTTCTTGCTCCTCGTCTCGGAATCCGACCGGCAACGGTAATATTAACGGCGACGTTCCTCTAGCAGTCTACATGTACGGAAATGAAGACGTTCGCTGCTGTCTCTCTGCCTCAGCCACCGTCGAAATTTGCGGCGGTGGCGACGGCGACGGCGACGGCAGTGGTTTCAAGGATACGGCATACGAAGAGATGCGGGAAGCGAGGGCATCTAATCAGAGTACACCGGAGGGATCTCCACGGCTTCGTTCGTAGTTCTTTTCTTTTTTACCATTTTGCCCTCCGGGTTCTGCTCTTGTTACGACCTTCTGGGAAGCCTATTTTGGGAAATAGGTTAAAGATTAGCAAAGATTAATTAAACACCAATTAGGTTAATTAAAATTTACTTTATGAAGTGACTGCCAAAAGGATGGAATTATCTGATTTTTAACTGCATTTAAATTATATTAATTTATAATTTTCGTTGATTTTCAAATAGAAAACCTTTACTATTTAAGAAGTGAATTTATGTAGGAATGATTTTTCAGGATTTGAATTAATTCAGTTATGAACGTTTAAGAGTTTAATTGAAATATTTTTTTCTGTCGTGAATTGATATTTTTAATCGAAATCTAATAAATTGTGTAAATTTATACACTAATTGATATAAAAATTAATTTTAAGATTGGTATTGATACAACTCTAAAGTGAGGCGATTTTTGTAATTTAAACGAGATGGTTGTCTTGAAAATTCTTTTATGGTATGATACTTTAAAAACATTCAGGACCTCGATTAAATGAGAGAATTCAATCTTTTAACTTTTCGATCCAATGAGAGAATTCAAACTTCTAACCTCTCGATCAAATGAGATAATTCAAACTTTTGACCTCTCAATCAATTGAGAGAATTTAAATTTTTTACCTTTCAATCAAATTGAGAGAATTCAAATTTTTGACCTCTTGATCAAATGAGAGAATTCAAACTTCTAATCTCTCGATCAAAGGAGAGAATTTAAACTTTAGACCTTTCAATCAAATGAGAGAATTCAAACTTTTAACCTTTCAATCAGATTGTGAGAATTCAAACTTCTAACCTCAAGATCAAATAAATGTGAATTAAGCGGTGTACAATAAGGTTTGCACAAAAAATTATTGCAATGCAACCGAAGCATCAAATTGATAAATTTCTTCAAACTCGAGTTTCATTCATTGATTGATTCAAGGTAGTCCCCTGCCTTTCTTGATTGGAAATTTTTCGATACTCATACTTTCAGTATTGGTACATACTAGTACGACTATGGATTGTCGTCAATCAAGCCATTTAGAATTCAGCTTTCGAGCAATAAAGTCAATATTTCAACCTCATTTAGGGGATCAAAAAGCTGCTTTTGGCATAGAATCTAGTATTACGTAAACTAAACTTTCTATTTATTTCATAAGTTTATGACGAGCAATAACAGGGACAGGCAATGATACTCTTTAAACCACATAATGTCAAAGCTGGGGAGATCAGTCACCTTAGATTATAAACCATTGCAATTTGACAAATAATGTTCATTAAGAAAGGCCAAATACCGTACTAATAATAATGACTATAAATCAAGAACAGTATTCCAAAGGCTTTATCATCAACATACCAGAATTCCATGAATTAAACCCATTTGTGTTTCCTGGAGAATCTGAAACCAATATAAAAAATAAGAGTACAATGAAGATTTGTTGCAGTTTATGACGTACAAAGTGATGAATGTGAACACTGTGAACCTTGGTACAACGACTTGATTGGAAACAGTTGAATAATGAATTGCCCAAAAAGGTACATCACAACAGGGAAATGCCAGGAAAACCCAACTGAGCGGGCCCATGTGATCATAACAGAATCAATCTTCAATGGCTTTCAAACTCATCCTTCTCAGTAAGAAACATGAAGGCTCTAATTTTACTATTGTTTCCATAGCTAAATGGTGGGAAAAAGTTAGGTAGGTGGGTGAAAAAAAATACAAAAATAAATAAATACAGGGGTGGGGGTGGGGTGAACTCTTTCAATTGTACTTTTAGCTCTGAGAAGTCAAAATTGGATTGGGTATAGAACTCTCCAATTCAGTCTCATGAGAGTTTAAGGGGATGAACAGCAACTCCGTTCCGAGAAGCTGGGATTCGACCCCATCTTCCTAGGCGAGGTTCCTGTCATGAAGTTAACTTATGGTGTCAGCACTAGGCATACCATTTCACTGTCAGCATGACTACAAAACTTATGAGGGCAGAAGAACAAAATAACTTGCCAATAACAAAACTGAGAAAATAGAAGAGATTTTCAATAAGAGAAGTCCATGAAGAAAACCAGCAATCTAGATACGAATTCAAATCATCAATTCGACACCTAATCAATCTATTCTGTTCTGCCAAACGTAACTATTTATTATCCGTTTTCGAGATTCCTGCTAGGATCAGTGAAATCCTAAAAAGAGACCATAGGAGTTTTCCATAGGACAGAGGTGCTAGAAATGGAAGGGGCATTAGGTGAAGGAGAAAACTGCTTGTTAGCATTAGGAAAAAGGAGGGTAGAGATGGGTATATATGAAGAAGGCGTCTAGCTTTCGTATCCAAATGGCTGTAAAAGTTTCCTCTGGAAACTAATGCATTTATGAATTGCCTGGAGGCTTAGTTCGTCAAAGACTGATATTTCCACCATTTCCAGATTCGAAGTAGGAATGGTGAGGGTTTGAATTCTTGGAAGGACATGAGGACGATCCCCCTTCCTAGGCTGTTTCCTAGAATGCAACGGATATTTCTATCTAAACTACTAGGCCTTCAGAATGAGACAAGTTGGAACTAGGAATCCAATGGAATAATTTTTATCATAGAAGAGAGGTCTTTAGCAATGCAGAAACAGGGGAGTGAATAACTCTCAGAGATGTTGGATGGTTTGTCTTATAGTGAAGTTTTAAAGATGCCAAATGGAGGACCGTTCTGTATAAGGTAAAGCCACAAACCACCAAATACCCAAAACTTGCATAAAATATTATGAAGTATTTATTAACCTAATTTTTAGCAAAATAGAGTAATTTTTTTTATGATCCTTTGATATTAGTTCTAAAAAGAGCTTCAACCCTGCTATCCCGGTTAGAAGAAAAGTAAGACCCTTTCGGAGCAGACTCCACTTCAACCGCAGCAACTTCAGAGAACTATGCCCTCTGAACCGCTTCCCCCAAACTAGTGAGGTGAATTGGTGCATTCTTGTAGGAATAATGAGGAAACACCGGTATCTCTCTTCTTTTTCTGTCCTTTCCTGGCAACTTGTTGGGAAGATCTCTCCCGGACATTTAACTTAGATTGGTGCATTCCAAGCAAAGCGTTGAATGCAATATACCAGCTTTGAGGAACGTTTAACAGAGGCCAAGAAAAGGTTTTTGGTCCACTGGAGTGACGGCTCTTATTTAAAAGTTGTGGTTTGAAAGAAACAAGAGTTTTTCAAGAACAAG